AGAGATAGGAACTGAATTCTAATACATAAGAGTGAGCTGCATTATTAGAGGCCGATAGGCACTTGTGTCCATTATTCTCCGGCATAGCTTGTTAATAGAGTGATAACCTGGTCCAAACTTAGACAAGACAAATATGCAGTGTTTTATAATAAATTACACAAGTATGTAAACATACTGTACAACTTAACACAACACTATTTGCATAATACTTAAACATTATTTGCATAATTCCTTAGACACAGAAAGTCCAGAATTTTACATTTATAACCTTAAACACTTAATAGAGTGGGAACTTGTATTCTGATACATAAAATGGATCATAACCAGGAATGAATTTCACTCTATAAACTGATGCTCATAAAATGGATGGGAAACAATTGGAAACACAAATATATCACTAAAGTAGGAGAGATGTGTTTAGATATGTTTTTAGCCTAATAATTCCACAATAAAGAAAATCTGTATTCCCAAATAAATACAACCAGAGATTTTATAATAAATCTCAGTCTGGTACTCAGAGTTCAGATTACCTCGACAGATTTTGGTTTGAAATCTTAATTCACTTAGGCACGGTCTCACAGCAAAAGCTTTGGATGAAGAGGAGGATGATGGATGACAATGATGATGTTCCTGCTTTGCTGCCTTCCTTCTTGTCTCTCTCAATTTGTCTGCATGTCTGTTCCTGTATTTATGCTATGGTCTGTTCATATGGGGACTAGCTTAATTACTTCATTTGGAATGAGTAAATTATTAGGACTCTTGTTGATCTTCTCTGTTTTCGTAAACGTTTACTTGAATTATGGCTCCAAGACAACTACCTGTATATAAATGTAGTCCAAACTTCTAAATAAGGCAATCAATATAGGAAAACAATGCTAACTCAGCTGACCCCAGCCGCTGCAATATGTAATGATTACAAATATGTATAATAAATTGTTATAATATGATCAGTTACATTCATTTCCAGAATCAGCATTTTGCCATGACAAAAAGTGTTTGTAATAGTTTGATTGTTTTGACTATTGCCAATAATTAAGCTCTAATTGCTTGCACCTGACTTTTATTATACAGATTTTGCAGCTAAGAATTGAAAACACAGTCTTTGGTAGGAAAAGTCAGGCACACACAACCAATGAAATAAAACTAATTTCAGAATTTCAAACATGTCAAAACAATATACAATAGTATCATCTTTATTATTATACTAGGAAATAAACATACTAATACGTTAGAAATACTTGTAAATACATTAGAAAGAGAGTCTCCAGTACTGAGTCTGGACAGCCTCAATTTAGTTATTATCTGAATGTCACCCTAAATCACCTGTTCTTTAAACATTAGGAGCACTTTAGCAATTGATAAGTAAGTAATGTTTTCTTGAAGTGAACAATGGTTCTTGAGGGTTGAAGGACATGATGATTTTGACTATGAAATTATCTGTACATGTACATAATTGAAGACATCATCTATTTAATTTAATATATTTTAATTGTTACATACTGGTGACACAGTGGCACAGTGGGAAGCATTTCTACCTCGCAACTCTGGGGCCTTGGGTTCAATTCCTGGGGTAGCATTTTCTCCCCGTATTTGTGTGGGTTTCCTCTAGGTGCTCAGGTTTCCTGGTGTGAGTATGTGCATGTTTGTGTCTCTGTGTGCCCTGTGATGGACGTGTAACCCATCCAGGGTGTATCCCACCTTCTTCCCATTACTTGCTGGGTCAGGCTCCTGCTCCACCTGTGACCCTGTAGTAGATTAAGTGGGTTAGAAAACAGATGGATAGGTTGATGTAACATGTTGGAATGAGCCTCCCCAGAACTAGGGTTGGAGACCCCTGACCTTAACAACAGTAGCAACAGTAAAATTAAGGCAAGTTTCAACCTTTATTTCAAGGAATGTTGAGAAGAGGTTGCTTAAGCCAAGCAATTCAATTCACCTCATAAACTGTTATAATTATCCTGAAATGTAGCATAATTGTTTCATGCTAGTAAACAACTGAAATCTGTGTACTGCATGGATAGCAGTATGACTTTATAAACAGGATTGTGATCACAAAATAAAGCTTCATGAAAGACATACCAATTAGGCAAAAAAGAATATTGATTAAAAATAATGATACCCCAACACAGCAGTGCATGATAATGAGATTGGCATATGAAAAATAATTATACTGACCTGCTGCCTCATTTGTAATTTAAATATGTTACACACAGCTTGCATTTCATGCATAATTTTCAGTTTCCAGGCTGACTGAGGTTTTGACACATTTTCCTTACAATTATTGATTTCTATCCAGTACCCTTTAAAGTAGCCTGCTTTGTAAGAGGCACAATCTACTTTAGAGCACATTCTCCTGCTGGCGATTTATCTGCCTTGTTTTATTATTTTTTTGCAAAAGATAAAAGCCAATGTTTGGCATTTTAATTGTATTGAAATTCAGTTCCTTTTCTATTTTAATCCT